AATGAGCTGCATTACAACCTCTCCCGTAATCAAAAATGTAAATCATGCAGTTTTCACCATTTTGAGCTCTTTTCAAGTGATTTTGGGCTACAATTGTCAAATTTGAAGCCCCTGTGGAAAATATTGATGTAGATGCAAAGAACTGGTTGAAAGTTGGGAGAAAATGCGTAAAAGATGCCAATTTTTTGGTACTAGTTTCAATGTTTATTAAAATGGAAACTTATTTTGCAATGACCCCTTTTTCAGTAACTAAGGGGCAAATGGACAGTAGATGTAACAAATGCTTACATTTTACATGCAAAATCTCTTGGCATGTCCCATGGGTGACAATACCCCTAGTATATTTGAACCTATTATAGGCCCGTGTGTCATATATACAGGTGCAAACTGCAAATGTGTATTAGAAAGCTATGTTAGCACCAATTTCTAATTGTTGTGTCATACTTGTGGAGTTCATAAGGTGAAGACAAGGAGGATTGGAAGCCAGGGTTCCAACTCGATATTCTTTAATCTCCACGCATGCGTCATTTGCTATTCGTGTCTGTATAATTTGTACGACTGCATGGAGAATGACCCGATACTCTCCAACAAAGCTATCGCTAGGTGATTGTTTTGCAGAATATCGGTGTTGCATTCTGGGAGCCAATCCTCCTTGAGGTGAAGATTACCCTACATGTACTTTATGAAGAATAGAATTTTTCAATTTCTTTATGGTTGAAAATAAGTCACTATAATTCAGTTATCCAATGAACATAGCACCGTTTCCATTCAGTGTTTTTGCCCATTTAATATGTCATTGCCAGAAGTTTTGGCAATGATTTGCATGGGTCAGGTCACAATTTATACATGTACATGTTTTGTTCGAATATGGACAATGCAAATTCCTAAGTTATGACTAAAAATAAGAACTAATTCTTCAGAGCTCTGTAAAACGTTCGATGTTTTGGCAAAAATTCAGATAAGTCCTCAATGCTCTAAATTCCTTAGTTTTGATAAAATCAGAATTGTTCCTCGAAACTCTGTACATGTTCTTGTTGTTCGACCTGCTCTTCTGAACTCATGGATTTTATTGTCCCTAATGTATGAAACCTTCCTCCTGGTCCAGCAATTCCTTCCTGATTGGTCATCGCCTTGGAAACCTGGACACGCCTCACCTGCTGTGCAGATTGCATCGATCGTACATTGCGAGATCCAGTTGTCGCAAATCCAGATCCCATTGGTCCGAAAGACCCAAATTCTGAACCCATTCCAGGGTGAGCAAAATTGGAACCCATTGATCCAAATTTAGAATCCATGACTCCAAAGTTTGATCGTGGCATCATTGCTGTACTGTTTGGGTGTTTAGTGGCTAAACTGCTGAAGCCCATTGGGATTGGACCTCTTGTGGAACCATTAAGAGGCTCTCCGCCAACGAATATTTCCTCGGAACTGGCACTTGCGTGCATCCGTGTACTGTGCATTATTGTGGCTGAAAGTACAATAAAATATCATTTACTCTCAAGATCACAACATTAATTTAGTATACACACTCTGTTGAATATTCAATACATGTTCTCAAATACTGTCAAACTTTCAAAAATAACTGACACATTTTTAGATGAGCTTACTTTTGTTAATTAAACATGCAGAAACCTCAACATTAGCCTAATTTAAAAATTAATTGTCTTCATGATGAAATGAAATGCTAATTGATACACATTTTATTGTATAGAGAATCAACTGTTGTATTGTATAGAGAATTGACTGTGGTATTGTATAGGGAATTGACTGTTGTATTGTATAGAGAATTGACTGTTTCATGAACATGATCAAATGACTGTATCAAGAAACATAATCTGATTACTATACTAATTCTTACTAGTAACCAGTTCCCAAAGACCTTTCCAAGACAGAAAGATCTTCCTACAAGAAAAACTGGTTCTCTCACAGAAGTCAATTTAACTATTGGTACTACCAAAGGAAAAAGAGAGAAACATGAAAAAGGATTTGTATTTGTTCAACAAGTGTCAAAGAAATGTCATACACTTCTAGAATTAGCCCACCACAAACTTATTCAATGTGATAACACAGACCAATGTATAGTGAATAACAATCACACTGCAGTAACCAATGAATCACACATGTACAGCCAATCGACAATGTTACCATTCAATATAAGCAAATTGTTGTGTTCCAAAACATTACATACTATTCATAACCAAGAATGGTAGACATTTAAATGTGGATTATTATTAAGTTCTTGATCTACAGTTGAATACTGATAAAAAGTTATCACTGATCAAATCCACATTTAATGTTGACCCCTAAAGAAATATCTTAAGAGAGAATACACATCTAGTAATCTAGCTCTGAAAATGCAACCTCATACCCCTGTTATAAATACAGATTTTTTAAAAAACAACATCAACATGAAACTGATATCAGAGATTTTACACTTCTGCTGAATTTGAATTAAATGAGGGGCTCTAAAGCTAAGTTCACTCCAACGGCGCTTTGATGGCGCTTTAAAGTGACGTGCAAAGCTGCTAAATGTCTCAATATATAGCCATATTTTATTTCATGGACAAGTTTGGCTAGAGCCCCTTTCTTTAGCAACAGACAGTGTACAAACTCTACCAAGCATTAATAAAGCATGCTGCCTCACTCTATGTGATAGCTTACCACGAGTTATAGATGAACTAAATTATCTGGAAATCAACAAGCAATGTTACAGAACTAAATTTAGCATATGAAAGGAAGGTGGTCTGAAATTCAGCACACATTCATGGTACATTCCACTGTCATGAATGAACAACAATGTTGGAGCTTGAGCACAATTAACATGCCATAAAATAAAATGGTTGAAATTCAGTAATCTCCCCAGCAACTCAGCAGTGCCAAGTTTAGAATTTGAAAGTTGTCTTGCACCTAAAAGTCAATTTGGACTCAGGGTCTAAAATTCATTTGGACTCCTATGAGAATTTGAAAGTTGCAGTAAGTTAAAAATTCATTTGCACTTTTTTTGAGAACTTGAAAGTTGCAGCAAGTTAAAAATTCATTTGCACTTTTTTTGAGAACTTGAAAGTTGCAGCAAGTTAAAAAATTCATTTGCACTTTTTTTGAGAACTTGAAAGTTGCAGCAAGTTAAAAAATTCATTTGCACTTTTTTTGAGAACTTGAAAGTTGCAGCAAGTTTAAAATCCATTTGCACTCCTTTGAGAATTTGAAAGTTGCAATGTCCTCAATTGAAAATCATTTAGCACAAAGGACAAAATCATGATTAGAATTCATAATTCTTTAATCAAATTAAACAAAAACCTGAATTTTGCTGCAAGTTACATCCAGAAAATTATAGGGAGAAAACTGATATCGCATAATAAGAAATATACAGCACATCAACATCTGCGCATCTAAAATAATTTCTCAAGCAACCTGAAATATCATCATTGGAACAATGACTGTTCGACACTGTTGAAGCAAAAGAATTAGGATACTGTAAATCTATAAGTCTCTAATTATAATCAATAATGGTTACAGTATCAAAGCTGGACAGGCAAAATGGGTGGGGGCTGTTCTATATAGCGTCCCTACATTTGATACAAAATACAACATGCATACATGAATATAGTCAATACATTTTATATGTCATGTATGCATTTGCATTTAATAGCTGGTGCATATCATGTGTGCTGAATGTAATCCACAAAATATCCTCCTTTAAAATGCAAAGGCACAAAATTCACACAAAACAAGTTTAAGAGACTTTCAATTATATCTAGACATGCGTATTATAGAACATAGGTTCAGGGGTACAGAACACAAGTTCAGGGGTAAAGTATGGATGTCCAGGGGAACAGAACCACCCTTGGTGTACGCAGCTAACGAAAATTGACCGGTACAGGTCAAAAGCTGGACCAGTACGGGTTAACGGTTTTATTTGAATTTAAAACAGCCATAACTTGCTCAATATTGACTTCCTCGTGTCTAATTTGAAATATATGATGCCTCCCGATGCTTTTAAGTACCCCAATTTTTTACAGATTTTTAAACGGACCACAACTCTCTAAATGCGCATTTATGCTCTTTTCTCTCGAGAACGACTGTCTCATTTTCACGATAACTTTTATTTAGTTCTTCTAACATATAAGATCTATTTTCCCCATCAAGGTATGATGTAAATGACCGAACCGGTCCATCTTCTCGCTGCAAGCAGATTGCCCCGAACCGGTCCGTCTTCTCGCTGCAAGCAGGATGAAATTCTTTGTCACAAAGTTTGGCATCTTTTATAAAATCAAACGCGCGTCATTGAAACTCACAAGATGTAAATAGCATGTAATTTACATCATACCTTGATGGGGAAAAATAGATCTTATATGTTAGAAGTACTAAATAAAAGTTATCGTGAAAATGAGACAGTCGTTCTCGAGAGAAAAGAGCATAAATGCGCATTTAGAGAGTTTTGGTACGTTTAAAAATCTGTAAAAAATTGGGGTACTTAAAAGCATCGGGAGGCATCATATATTTCAAATTAGACACGAGGAAGTCAATATTGAGCAAGTTATGGCTATTTTAAATTCAAATAAAACCGTTAACCCGTACCGGTCCAGCTTTTGACCCGTACCGGTCAATTTTCGTTAGCTGCGTATACCAAGGGTGAGAACACAAATTAGATAAGGTGTACAGTATATGAGTTCAGGAGTATATAACACAAGTTCAGGGTTTTTAAGTACACTGCAAGTACAGGGAAACAGAACATAAGTTAAGGGGTACATAAGAAAGGCTTGATTTATCAGTATATGTTAAAACCCTGAATTTAGAGGATAAGGTGTAGAGTTCTCAATACACATGAATGAAGCAAATACATTAGTCAAGGAAAACACTCATATTAAACTGTGCATTCAGGTATACAGGTACATGTATACAGAAGTAATTTATAGTACCTGCTGAAAAACCCTTTCAGCCCCATTGCCACAATAAATTATGCTTGTGATACAAACATGTATGGTAAGGTACTGAAAGGGTTAAAATGACAACAGTTCTGTCATTTGAGGGGTCCAAGATTGCGTCATGCCTGCTGGGTAATCTTCCGCGTGCCACGTTGAGAGCGGAGATGGATTTGATTGGTACATTGATCCTGTTGGAAGAAAACATGCAATGCTGTCAGTGATGTGATTAGTAAAAATATAATACCGGATATGGAGAGAGATTTTACAATTCATGGCTCTACTCAGCAGGAGTTCAATAAAGGGGCTCAGGCAGGATGTAAGCAAAGCATGGTGGTAAGGCATGGTGGTAAGGCATGCCGTGGTCACATTTGCTTTGATTTTCAATACCATTGCCTGGCCAATGAGTATTTTGTTCAAAATTGCATTCAGTTTTGAACAATATATTCATCATTTTTCATTTAGTATTTGTTCACTTTCCTCAACCGATCCATGACCCAATAAAATGACAGTTACATTGCAAAATCTCTCTTTTCTTTTTCTAGTTTCTAGTAACTCTGACAATCTGAGAACATATCTTTTTGTTGAGTGTAGGACAAGTAAAACCAAATAAAAGACCTTTGCAAGTATGTTTGTACAAGGTCATTCAATAAGTTCATAGAAAAATGTATTTTTCTATGAACTTAGTGAACCACCTGGTGCATTATCTAGCAGGTCCTACCTGTATGTATTTCAGGGGAAAATCTTTAAAAAGATATGTTCTTTAGGGAAAGTATCAAGATAACAATTTATGTCAAAAAACTGTTTTGAAATGACCCCTTTCCCACTCAAAATGTAATGATAAATTGAGTGTTCAAATATAATACTTTCAATATCGAATACTTTGAATTTGTTTAAAATCTATTCCCACCAAGCATACAAAACTAACCCTTTCCTTACTTCTGTTTACATCTTGATTTTTATTGTGATACTTTCCCTAAATTGTATTAAAATGGCTAGTAAAAATGTGGACAGTGAAAGCCTAAAATAGAAGCTGGATGAGATTAACACATGCAAAATTGAAATAATCTTTTAGCAACTACAGGTTTCAAGTATAACAAACCATGCAAATGGTCAGTGACTTATTGGCAACATATCAAATGCTACTTTTTTATTGTTTGAGTATGATATTTTGTACTACAGAAGGTCTATATTTGTTAGAGCAACTAAGTGAATAAATTAGATATGAGACTACATAACTTTGAATGTAAGAAACTGATTGTTAGATCTTGGGATGGTTTTTTTACCATCAACCAGTATAGTTTTTTGTGATATGAAAATAACTAGACCCAGAAAACTAATATTTTTTAACAACGATAAACATCCAGTCATACTTCAGTTTTTTTTGTGAAAATATTAGAATCTGAATTCTCAAGACCTAACAATCTGCATTTGGAGTAAAAAAGTTGTCAAACATATAAAGCACTTAAATATGCCCTAAATCATGTGACACTAATATGGCACGGAATCCTACCAATATAGTGCCTAATGGCCAGACCTTTGCATTCTTCACCTCATTTTTGCAAGCAAGTCCTTTTTGCATGTACATTCTTGTACATGTAAATCTTCAGACACATGTAAATCATCTGAATCATGTTAATTACCAGACACATGTTTTTACCTGTAGATCTAGTTTTACTTGTCTGCTTTCTTGCCTCATATCTCAGCGTCTTGGCTCTCCTTACATAAGCCTTCCGAGTGTTAAGGGCATTCTTCATAAGTACTGGTTTCTTGGCATCAAGCTGGGCTTCAAATGCTACATTCTCAAAGAACCCTGGAATACAAAAGTCGAACCCATGCTTAATAAATATCCGGCTGCATTTATGAAACTAATGTTAATAAGATTAAAGTAAACTGTCACCATTTTTACTGACTTAAAACCTGTTTGATTAATTCCTTGCTGGTTCCACTCTTTCGTCAAGTAAAAAGACAATCATTACAGATGCTTACACCTAGTTACACCAACACTGAACTGGGAATACAAAAAATACAGTGGGTATAATATTTCACTTCTCATTGAAACCCACAATATCCAGACAAAACTATTGCTTACTTTTTAGATTCTTTACACTTTGCGACATTTCTTCCTGAGCATTTTCGGAGTATGAGTATGTTTTGTTTCCATCTGACTGTGTAGTACCTGCCACCATTAGGGTTTTGTCAAGTTTTGATAGAGATTCATTGGCAACTTTTAACCTATTTTCAGCCTCATATCTGGCTTTTACTTCTTCCTGTAATAATAAAAATGTTACAATTGTAATACCATTTTATAAATCGATGAACAAGTTCATTGGAATTGATAACCCAAATTTCTGAGAGTTTTTTTTCGAATACTGGAATAAGAATTGTAATTTAATAAATTTTCACCAAACCAAATAATGGTTAGCTGAAAATTCAACTTGGTACAAATGGAATTCAAACTAGCTGTAAGGTAATTTTCAACTGGGTGCAACACCTTGCTGATCCAATGCTAGGAATATCACTGGTGGATATTAATTACCTTGAACTTTTCTGTTGATTTAATACATAACGAATATTAGAGCATCTCCAATCGTATAGAAGAGAGACAAATTAAATTGAGGAAAATGTAAAGAAATTGTTCCATGGGGGTGGGGGTGGGGGTGTGAGTGTATTTCTGCTTACCTTGAGTTCATTTTCTGTGATTTGTTTCTGAGTTGTGAGTTCCTTTATAGACTCTTCTAGTTCAGTTGCATGGTCAGATATGGAATTCTTCTCTTCCTGTAGCACTACTGATTGTTCTTCATTCTCTCGTAACCTGAATTAGTATAATGCAAACAAGGTAAACAAGATACAATACAACACATGTGTGGTATTATTCTATAAACAGTTTTTGGTGTTAAAAGCAGATATCAATCAGAAGATATTATGCTGAATTTCTTTGGATAAGGGGTTCCAGAATTCACAAATTTATTCAATCTTTTTAATTTTCAATAAAAGCAACTATCTGACAATATCCAAAAATCTCCTTGGTTTTTTCAGAAGTCATAATATGGAGGATTGGAGAGTTTAATATGCCAGCTTACTAAATATTTCTTGTATGTTTGGCCCTTTTCACCTCAATTATCAATTTATAAAAAATGATCTTCATAATGTTCTTTCTTTGGTATTTACCGATTTTCAGCTTGCATTCGGTCATCATGTAACCTCTGCATTTGATCCTCAATCTTTTTTAACATTTCTTTTAACTCATCTGTGTTCTTTGAAAGATCTTCCTTTTCTTGAGATAACTTATTTGCAACATTCTGCCTTTCCCTCAATTCTCCTAAAGTCTTCTCTTTTTCTTTAGCAAGAGCCTGAAATTCAAGACACCTAATTTTAAGCCTTGTCTGTGTTTATAGTCATGGCTACAACTTGTCTAATTTCGATGGCAACTATAGAATTGAAAAGAGTAACGCTGTATTATAATTTCCATGGCGACCCTACAGCCTGTAAAAACTGGGATATGTTATAGAGCGACCTTGATGCAACCATATATTTTCGATGACTGTCAAAGTTATTTCTTAATTTTTAAGAAAGATCTCTAACTTTATTCTATATTAAATTATAAATAAAAAACGTTTTGGGTTTATGCTGTATCAGAATCACAGACACTGCACTAAAAGACAATGCACTTTAAGACACTGCACTTTAAGAGACATTGCACTTAAAGACAATGCACTTTAAGACACTGCACTTTAAGAGACACAGCACTTAAAGACAATGCACTTTAAGACACTGCACTTTAAGAGACACTGCACTTAAAGACAATGCACTTTAAAACAAGAGGATCTCTAACTTACCTCTATATTAGCTTGCAGGTTAGACGTAGTGTTCATTAACTCATGTTTATCCTCTTCGATGTTTTGCATCGCTTCAGCTGTCAGTTTCATCTCTCTGCAAACAACAGGTTTTTATAAATTATCATGGTTTTTAGGGCTTTAACCCAATGCATTGCGACCTTTCACCTACTATTCATTGGATTTCCACTACAGTAGGGCCAAGTAATTTTTAAACAATTAACATGACAAGATGTCACTACCCTGTGAGTAATTGCAAATTGTTACAGACACCAAACTCTGAACACCGACAGCCAAACACCGCAACAAGAAAGGTGGTGACATCATATATGTGCTTTTGACAAGTATACAGATCCTCAGCCTGGAGACATGGAGACATGAGTCCATTTCAACTTAATATTGTTCTTAGATTTCTAAATGTGATCTGTTCCAGTGAGAGGCATTCCTTGTCATATGGGGATGTGCCTGTAAAGTTTGTTACCCTTGATCTTAGTGCTCAAAAGAATATTTCCCCAAGATAAGATTCATGCAGATTTGTATTATCCATATCGAATTTCTATTCTTCTATACAAAGCTGACCCTTTGTAAGATAATTTTTAAATTTGAATAACTACACTCTGTGTGAAGAAAACAATTGCTGAAACACTCTGTATGGAAGCTGAGCTGAAATTGTACACCTCATGTATGAAAAAAATTCTTTCCAGCACCACTAAATTCTTTTCTAGTCTCAAATGGATCATAAGTAATTAACTCACTCTTTTAATTTATCATATTCAGATCGCAGATCTTCCGACAGTTGTTCCATTTCTTCTTTCTCCTTCTCCATTTCAGCTTGAATTCTTTCCAACTCCTGTAACATGTAAATATATTAACTCTTTTGATGGGGACATTGACTAATTCATCCTATCGGTAAGTGCGGGACGTCGACTAGAGTCGACTTTTATGCACGTACTACGCTAATAAGTTTTTCGTTGTATTTATAGATGTCAGGCTATGTCTAACCTTGTGGATTATGTTTGTACAGGACAAAACATAAAAGTAACAGGAAGTTAATGATATTTCGTGACTTTTTCATAGAATAAACCGATGTTTTCTCTAATATTATTTGAAATAAAGAAAAGAGGATTCAAAATGGCTGCTGCTAGAGCTCGAACTCTCATATGTATTAGGGCTACTGATGACAATTTTGATCAAATATTCAATGATTTGGACAATAAAAACGATACTTGATGAAATGAGGTGAAAATTATGATTTAATTTGGATTTTTGGATGGTATTATTTTATTTTTATTATCACATAGAATATTATTTAAATTTATTCTATTTTTCTCATTGATATCATGATCAATGATGTAATTGCTAATCTATACGCTAGAATTTGTATGTTATGATGGTTTAAAATGTTAGAACAATATATTGACAGCATGTACTGAAAATGTCATCAACATCTGATTGCTAGATAAAAAGTTATGACTGTTTGAATAAAATCGGTCAAAAGTAGACAATTTTCAGGAAATTAATTACCGACCTTAGCAATGTAGCAAATTTGCTAATTACCAGTCGAAAGAGTTAATCTAATTTAATCTGCAATAATTCAGTCCTTGCTTAGTCTCTGGGTTATGTTATAGACACTCTCAAGATTCCTGGACTTATTTGTCAGCAAAAAGGCCCCATAAAATATGATTATTTTACTTATCTGCATTATATTTTATGTCAATAATGTTATTTGTTATATCTTCTGCCACAATGTACCACTGTTTAAAAAGTGTATAGCAAATAAATAAAAAAAAAACAAAAAAAAAACATGTGCACCAAATTGCCAGTACATTGCATCTTGCATGTTGAAAATACATCAGTAACAGTTCAGAATAGTAACCCATGACATCCAGCCTATAATATGGTGGAAGGTAGCTAAATTAGATCCTAGAATTTTGAAGTGTTGCAGGACGGTGGTTAAACTACTGTTGGGAGAAGGAAACATAATGATTAATGTCAATAGGTGGTCTAACGGAAAAATTTCTGTATTATGTAAAATGTGCTATAAAGAACCAGAAACACTATCACACATGATACTGGACTGTGAAGGTCATGATGCTTTAAGATCTAATATTTTGGAAATTGTACATAATATCTTCAAACCAGCACGAAATTATCCAAAAGAGATGATTCTTGGAGCAATTTTTGGTGCAGGGGAGATATTTGATGTCGAGGAATATAAGCAAATTGCTGTTTACATCCATAAAATGTACATACATAGACCAGAGTCTGGTCTGTAACTATAATTAAATTGCATATCATATACATATGTTATAATTGTAACTAAATAATGTAAAATTTATTTAAACACATCAAATATGGTGGATAAAATAAATAAATAAAAAAAAAAAAACACATCAGCAGGCATAAATTCTGCCACACTGAGTGTTTTCCATTGTACCACTGTTTAAAAAGTGTATGGCAAATAAACAAATAAAAAACAAAAAAAAACATGTGCACCAAATTGCCAGTACATTGCATCTTGCATGTTGAAAATACATCAGTAACACATCAGCAGGCATAAATTGGCAATTTATAAGTAATTTACCAGCAATTTGTGATGCAATTATGACATTATTTTGATGAACATGTCATGCAAAATATCCCAGACTCATAACAAAGCAATGAAGCGATTTGCTTTCAACAGTCAACTTTACTGGTGAGAGGCTTAACCAAAAACTCCAAATTTTCAATTTTGTTTTAACAGTGACAATCAATTTTATGCTCATTTTGCTGGTATTTCTATTCTAAAGTTAAGTTTCCCCAAAATGTCAGAAAGTTTAATTTACCTCAGTTTTTTCTTTCTCTGCCTGCAGAGCTGTAGCCTCTGTCTGAAGCTGGCCTAAAACAAATATTCATTTGAGATTAGGAGACTTTGATCGTGCTAACACTAATGCATATCAATATATTACTGCACTTTTTTTAATTCAATGCTACAGTTTTATCGTTAAATTAGAGTGATTCCTACCGAAACTGACCCTGTGAAGGATTTTATAGAAAATTGCATCATTCGGTAAGCTCCCATGGTGAAAAAAGTTGATTTGTCTTTTTAATGTTATATTTTTTCATTAAGAAATATAGACTGAAGAGCGGGGGTAATATTGTCAAATACACCCCGCAGGGCTCGGCACAAACTGTTTCTGTACCCCGAATGAGCGAAGAAAGTGAGGGGTTTGAAAGCTTTTGTGCCTAGCCCTAAGGGGTGTATTCAAAATATTACCACTGCTCTGAGGTCTATATTACGATTCGAACATCATGAAAACTCACCAAAATGTTTCGAATATTCATTATGGTCCGCCATTACTTCAACCCGCTGTTATGACATCACACATTACACATATTACCAGGGGTATTCTTTGCGAATATACGCCGGGTGAAATGTTGACTTTGTTTACAGTTTATAGAAGGCGTGAATAATGCATAAAGTTTCAACAATTCTGAATAAACCAGCAGTTGCTCAAGTAGGTGCCTTGACCAAAAGAGTAGAAAAAAATTTTACCAGCAAGGACCTTCCTCCAGAAAATGGAAATAGGAATATGTTAAAAAAAAGTGAAGTTTTTTATTTGATGGACAGATGGACAGCAGCACAGACAGATGAGCAGATAATTCCATAGGGTTACAATGTTAACATAATACTTGAAAACATCCAGAAACATGTTTCTCCCCATGCCTATTACTTACAATAGCAACTTAGTGTATTTAGACAAGAAGCCAACTATAGCTCAGCTCACAGAATTCAGGTTTCATAATATTTATATTTTAATCCCCCATTATCTTAAATGTTTACTCGGTGTCGGTTTATGGTAATCAAACCACAAGAGTTCTACTTTATGTTTTCTGCAAGACCTGATTTTTAAAATCTCCTATGAGAACTTGCCATTTATGTATCACATTAGCTCCATGTCCATGCTTATTCCATGCTTTTCCCATAAAATGTGAATGGAGGGACTGATTTCCTTGCATTTCTATACAATTTAAAGTATTGACTACATGTCTGTTTAGTGTTTACTCTATTCCTTGCTAATTCCACTCATTTCCTCTTTTCAGTTTCAAACCATGATCCCTCGGCTTCAAACCCACCCATTGATTTATTTCATGAACTTACCATATAAGTCATGTTTATCTTGAGCCATTTGTAGTCCCTGGTCTTCTAACTGTTGGATCATGGCCTCCCCTAGCTGTGAATTCTTGAATGTTCTACAACAAAATTAAATAATTTACAACGAATTGAATGTTCTACAACATTTTTTCAATTTCAGATTTTATTTTGACATATTCAGAGCATATACCCCTATTCCGTGGATTTCATGAATAAGGCACTAACATGTAATATGTCACTACCTGCCATTTGGTACAGATCCTGACCACCAAACGCCAATCGCCAGACTGCCATCCACGTAAAAGTTGGTGACTATATAACAATGGTGACAAAAAAATGTTTACTTACACCCTGCTTGATATGCGTAGCATGTTGACCCACTTGTCTCTCTCAAACCCTGTATCTGTTGAAAGTGCCACGACACCCTGCAATGAATGACATCACAATTGAATATATATGACATCAGGATTTTGAATATAAATGTTACATGATTATGATACAGCATTTCCATGAGAATCTTTCATTACAATACAGGAATGTATGACATTCAAGGGTAACATTTGAAATCAAAATGATTTGAAATACTATGCGAATATATATGACATCAAACAGAACATGAATACTTGACACCAAACAGGTTTCTATCACATTTGACATCACTTGATTCTGTCATCTAATGCAGATCAGATGGGGTATAAATCCAGCGCTTACTCACATGTAAAGAATTCTAAGAACATGGGAAAGATTGTAAATGTTCCAGTTTATCAATGGGATAAGTGTTATGGCCTAAAAGTACTTGGTAAGTAGTGTCTTATCTCAGTGGGATATACAGAGCAGCTGCCGTATTAATGGACCATATACATTTTCTATACCCTCCTACAGATGGATACATATCTTTGTTCGGAGTCCAGAAAGGTGTTTATTACTTTTAGTATATTGATCTCCCCAGATTTTTGTGTGAAGAGTTTATTTTCGTGAAACTTTTTTATTTTTGTAATTTTTAAGTGTAACATTGGGAGACTTTTGTGATTTTTTTCTATTGGTAGATTTTGTAATCTTTTGTAGCATATTTTAGTGTTTTTGAAATCCATTGTAGGAGTAAGTAATTATTTAGTTTATACATAATTTATTTCTGTTTCACAAGCATTTGTATAAAATAGGCCTCTGGTTGGCCCATATACCCCCTGAGGAGTCTCCCATACCACTGAAGTCTAATGCCTCAGACACATTTAATCTATGGCAACTGTACAGTGGCCATGGTTTCCGAGAGAGAAATATGCCAAAAAATATATATGATGTCGATTTTCTATATCAATTTTTAAAAGCTACAGCCGCCATACGCTCACCATAGAGCAAATGTAACTGAGACCTTACAGTTGCAACAGTCTTATTAAGTGGTTATTTAATTAAAGTGGAGTTAAATCACTGAAAACAATTAAAAGGAGTGGCACCTGACAATTACTCATGTACAGTTTAACAAGAGGTAAATAACTGTTAAATTACAGGATAATAGGGAGGTACTTTGAAGAGCTGTTCGCCTCATAAAAAGTGTTGAAACAAAAGCAGCTGGGGGCCATTCAACTAACATCAAAACATCAAAGCAATAAGTGGTAGTACTTCTGCTGGAAAATACATTTCACACTTTGTTATGATTCTCCCAGGATTCTGACACTGGGTGTTGTATTGATGAAGATGGGGTCAGCGAGATCCTAGGGATGGATCATTATACCTTGAGGAGGAGAAAATTTAACATGTTGCCCTTTGTCTGTCTCTATACATCAAAGCAATAAGTGGTAGTACTTCTGCTGGAAAATATATATCACACTTTGTTATGATTTTCCCAGGAGTCTGACACTGGGTATTGTATTTATGAAGATGGGGTCAGCTAGATCCTAGGGATGAATCATTATACCTTAAGGTGGGAAAATTTAACATGTTGCCCTTTGTCTGTCTCTGTACATCAAAGCAATAAGTGGAAGTACTTCTGCTGGAAAATACATTTCACATTTTGTTATGATTTTCCCAGGATTCTGACACTGGGTGTTGTATTTATGAAGATGGGGTCAGCTAGATCCTAGGGATGAATCATTATACCTTGAGGAGGGGCAACTTAACATGTTGCCCTTTGTCTGTCTCTGTACATATTTTTCTCAAAAAATACTCATCAAACTTTTCAAACTGCTTCAAACTTGACTTTACTTGTTCATCTGTATTCAAAATTAGAGATAGTCTTTCAATCAAGTCAAGTCTTACCAAATAAGAATAAGTCCATACAGCTGCCCATACAGCTGTACAGAGTTGCTCAGTCACAAAATTATATGCATTCATCATAGGTAGCTACTATTTATTTTCATATTTTAGAATTATTAGTTCTGACTCGGTCTCTAAAATGTAAAATTGTCAATCCTAACCAAAGGATAGCAATTACTCCTAGCTATCTGGCTTTGAGGGAAGTATAGCCACTGCAGCCTAGAAATATTCAACTGCATTTGTGAAGGGATGCAGTTAACCCTCAGTTTCTTCAATGTTGTAAAATGAAACAACACCAAAGCAACATGTCAAAGTTATCTCTGGAAAACACATTTCAATCTTGAGTTAAACAACCATCCAAATGTTCCTTTATTATTAAGATCCTTTAAGCAAAATAAATCTTGAGCTTATTCCCAGACATATGAGGGAATTGGGGATTGAATACATGGTTGGAGATGATGATTTATATGGAGATTGGGACACATTTTATGACAAAATGGACTTAGTATGATGCCTGCACTGACTCTATATTGACATATATCGGTATTAAGGAGGTATGAGATATTATGTCTGTTTGAGGCTACACCAATAAAAAAACATGTTTTGCCTCTTTTTTGGAAAATGATTAGATAATGAGGACTTTTCTTATACAGCATTAGTAACAGGCAATTTTTCAGGTGGTGTCTACAAAATTCGATTTGAGGACTATTTTGACTGTTTTGATGTTAATTTGCAATTTTTCCTTTCTTCATTTGTCTACTGTCACGAATTCTAATGAAATTCCTGCTTATGATCAAAGTTGGCTTGAAAAAACAGTAGTTTTACCAATATTGAATAAGATAATTCAATATGATAGAAAGTTTATAATCAGAATGCGATCTTGAGAACTAACTTTGAAATAGATGTGCGAGGTGATGCTAAACATTTTATTTATTTCTCCTTGCCTTTTTAGGTTAAGTATTAGGCCTAAAGAACAAATTGTTATTCAATGCCACACTATCTCTGAAAATAATCAGGAAAGTAGATTGGAAAAATTAAGTTTAACTCTATATCTGAATGTCAAGGTAATAAATATCTTCTTCTTGATAGCTTCAGTTTCTTGCTTGCAGATTAACAAACTCCCAGTGGTAATTGGCAGTGCCATACTTTCCCTGGACATGATGCTCATATTGACTAGCCTCTATACAAAATAACTTCTCTCTTGTACACAGGTACTAACCAGATCTCAACCAGTAGCGTAGCATAGGCATTTTGTGAGTGTACGCCACGAGTGAGCGAAGCGAACAAGCTTTGAGGATTGAAACCCCCGGCCCCTAAGAAAATGTGAAAATGAGATTACATTTGAAGAGTTCTAGGGCGGTTTAAAATACGAAATTCCGACCAATAAGACTAACAAAATGTAAAAATACAATTCATAAAAAAATGAATTTTGAGAGTATGCCATGGCGTTTTATGCCTATATGACACCAGTGGGTCAACAGTATATACCGTGACCATTTGAGGATCCAAGTTGACCTGAACATACCGCTGAGCTTGCAAATACATACAGCCTGTACCTTAGCCATGATACCTCCGAACAAGCTTACGAAATCATGAGGTCTGCTTAATACCCGTGTTATAGACACCTATATACACTGAGCACTTATTGTGGCTCTAAAGGTGTTCACTACGCACAGGTTTTACTGTACAGGTAATTTTAAAAGTATGTAAATGCCAGAACACCAGCAGGCAATTCATTCAAATTAAAGACAGAAAAGTGTAGCATGGAGTCACAGCGGTCAGCAAGAATAAGAAAATTGATAAAGACAGTACTGTATCAGTAAAACAGCTTACTCCTAATTAGAAGAATTAACCCTAATTCACTTTGAATGCACTTTACAAATTGATATGGCATATGGCACAGAATGTTGCTATAATGTAGTTTACAGAGCTGCGACTGAAGGACATTATCGAAATAGTTAGTTTCAGACACCCAACCTCCTCTGTTAACTATATCCTATTCAAGCCTCCTACACTTCGACTCAAGCGGCCGTCAATTCGACCTCGGTAACTTTGTTCCTTCAGTCCGAACCATATTTTCACAATGTGAATATTGGTTCTTTATAGTCACAAACCACCAGTTTCTCTCTCCCAAACTTATTTCTCCATTTGCGCATCAAGTTTTCAGATCACGAACCACGCCACGTCAGTCGAAGTCTACGAGACCTGATATTGGAAATGTTGAAACCATTGCAGCATTAATACTGAAGTGTCTATGTTTAGCATTGTTTTGACATTCATAGTGTTGAAATATCCAGATTAGCACAATTGGCAAAACCATCTATTTTGATCACACAATCCATTTCCAGATTTAACTCTATCAGTATGTAGTCTGGCAATTTGTTCATAGATGCAAAGATTCTAAATATAAGAAATAATGTTGGATATTATTTTTATGCTCGGGGTATTTAGTTACTGAACAAAGTGCTGAAAAACACCGTGATAAAAATTATCAAATGAAGTAAGGCTTGAATAGATAGATAAACACTACCATCTGACTATTACTCAGGTATGTTGCCCCCCCCCCCCCCCCATAGCAAAACATGTTTTCAAAATCATGCAGTTTTCACCATTTTGAGCACTTTTCAAATGAGTTTGGGCCAAAATTGTCAAATTTGGACACCCCTGGAATTAGGGTAGTTTAATACACTTGGTATTTCACAAATTCTGAATTTACTGTATGTTTCTAATCTAAACCATGTATGTTTTCTAGTTTCCTAGATGAGGGTCTGAATGCTTACTTTGATTCTTCAAGCAATGTGTAAATATTAGGTCAGGAAACATTCTCTACTTAGAGTGTTTCTGTAGCAAATTCTCCCTGTAGACATTTTTATTTACTTAGTTCAAAAATCTCATTTCATTTTGCCTATAAAATATCGAAAGGCCTACATGTCCAGTAAACACTTATACAGGCTTTACGTAACTTAAATTTCCAATATCCAACAGGGTGTAAAGTGATGTTCAACTGGTTTCAAATTTATTTTCACTTCCTCAAGTGGGTGCACTAATATAATATCCTGTTGTTTCAATTCTGAAACACCTCCAAAAGTAGAACATTTTTCAGAATCTCATGACCAATTGACCTAAGGTTTAATGAACCTCTATAAGTAGAACAGCTCTTAATGGAACACTTTAA